AAACACGCATTTTCATTATAAAATATTAATCTCTCAAGAAGCTTCGTGCCGTATTTCGTAAGTGGTGCAACAAGAAGGCCTTTCATAAATTTACCGTTTATCAAGCAAAATTACGTTTCTCCAAACGTTTATTTCACTTATCCAAATAATAAATGTTAATTCGAAACGAAGCTGAGGTAAATCTATGTGCACAATATTAGAAAAATGAATATATATTTTTTATTTTTCTTATCAATGCTATATTTATGCATCAGTTGATCTAATAGAGATATACAGAAAGAGATGTATAAATATTTGAATATGCGCATATATACACGTATAACTCGAATATTATTACAGATGATAAACTTTCTACTATTATATTTTCAAAACGAAACGATCAATAATAATTCTGAAATTCATCTCCAATATCTGTATAGTAATCTTTAATATCACGATTGTTATCTAATCTTATATACAAATATATTATGTTAGAAGAAATTTGTTATATGATGAGAATTCTATATGATTGCACATACTAGTTTATAGTCAAATATTTCGGGAACGATATGGTAAAGATTATTAAAATTTCTATTATGAGTTGTTAGTTTGACTAACTTTTGTATCATGTATATATTATATATTTATCTTATATTTAGTCAAACACTCGAACCTTCTTAAAACGCTACGAGAGAGAAATCGGAGAAGGAGGGTTGGTGGACTCTACAAAAGAGGGCACGCCAAAAATAAATATACTCTCCGCTTCCGTTTGTACATTTTATAAAATTGTAACTTCATCAAATCGTCGAGTGTCTTACCGAAGAGAAAAAAATACTTTCTTCATCTCTCTCTCTCTCTTTCTTATCTCCCGTTTTCCCGCCGCAAATTCTTTCCTTATATTTCCCTCGGTTTACGGATAACGAAATAAAAAGAGAGAGACAGTCCAATTTTCAGGATTCGACTTTATCCCAGCGCGCACGATTAGAGTCGGGAAACATCGCGCGGCGATAGCAGCGGCGTTTCGAGGCTTTGCATAAAACGCCGCGAGCATGCCAATCAAGGGCCCAGCTTCCGCGCCTACCTTCGTGCTTTTTCCTTCCGAGTATCGTACACATGCTCGTGCTCGCGTGAGGATGTGTACCTCCCCCCTCCTCTCTGGCAGCGAGGATGATGTTGCGCGCATCATCCCGTGTTTTCACGGTTTCCGGCCCGTCTCATCTCCAATCAAGCGCCAGACGGACAAATATATATCCGGCGGGTTCGACGTACGTACGTGGCGCGCATCGGCAAGATTCATCCGCGTCCGCGATACCCACGGATAGCAACGAAGCGCACAGGTAGAGCCAGAGGGGGGAGGGGAGGTATATATCGATACAAGTTGGCGGCTGCACCCTCACCGCCGGAAGGAAGGAAATGTATCGCGGATTTACGCGACCGCTAACGTGGATACATCGCGGCCCGTAGAGCGTGTTATTCTCTATTACGCCCGTCTATAGACCGTACCGTGCCGCATCCTACCATACCGTGGATCGTACCGTGGTGGTACGTACGTGTTCGCGTACAAATCGCCACCGTAATAATTCAGGCCGCCCGATGCAGCCGGCGACGTGACCGACGCGGCCAACACGAAGAGAGAGAGAGAGAGAGGGAGAGAGGGGAGAGTGTGAGTCGGTTTTCGGCGACTCGAAACGACGGAAGTTCGGCCCGTTCGTTTCCGAGTCCTTTGTCGCCGGCGATTTAATTGAAATTTTAACTTCTCATACGCGCGCGGCACCGGCGAACTTGCGGGCGTATTTGCGTTTTCGCGAGCGCCGGCGCGTCGTGAAATATCGCCGCGCGCGCTCCGTTATCGCGCGCGGCGCGCTCGCGAATTTATCATGCGAGAAAACGCGTTACCGCCAGATTCCAGCTGATCAAGCGAACGAAGGGCCGCGCGTAAATCGTCCCTTTGTGACTTTATGGGGCCGCGACGTCGCAGTAAACTATGTATCCCTATAAATCGCCATGGCGGAGGCTACGAATTAACGATATACGCCGAGTTTAACGGCGCCCCCCCCCCCTCTCTCTCCATCTCACCTTTTGTGTGACGCATTGTAAATGTTCCCCGCAAACACCCTTACACGCGCAGGTGTGATGTACGCTCGTGCGCGAGCATAAGTAAATTTCACGCGGCAAGCGGAAGAGAAAATTCCGAAGGTTCCGTTACTTCAGTGAATAACTCGCGCTAATCCTCTCATCGCGATGTTCAACGATACTTGTGCTATTTGGACGTTAGCTATGGAAGTAGCGAGGAAACGCTCCTTCGGTAGAATTATCATATTAACCCAGTTTTGTTACAAGGGCTTTGCTCGGCTGGGCGTTTAAATAGCGTAATTGAAATCCTCCCTCATGAGGTGGGACAGTGCAACAATTTCTCGATGGTGAAGTTAACGATCATCATAAAACCGTGGGAGCAACGATGACTGCAGACTCGATCGCCGCTAGAAAATAATTAAGGCGGTAATGGCATAAAGTGAGCGTTTAAGAATTCGTTGAAACTATGTGTAGATTTAAATATGACCGAATTATTGGTGCAATTAGAAAATGATCGGCCATGAAAGCCGAGATATTCTGAAAATCACACTTTTTATACGTGTTCCTCGAGGTTCTAATTTTAACTTCGATTTTTAATTTCTTTTATGTCACGCTTGGGATTTTAATGAAAATCTTATCGTGATATTAAGGACTAAAATAGAGACATTATACAAAAATGTCGGAATTATTAACCATTCTTTTTTTTTTTAATGCAGGTGTAAAGTGATATAAAGGTGAAATAAATATATAAGAACATAATTTTGCTTAATAAATATTAAATTGATAAGTGATCTCTTCCATGAAAATGCGGCATTTGTCAGCGCTACTACTACCTTAAGGAACGATCATCGATTATAATATTGAAAAATTATTGATCCTGAAAAATTACATCGTCCGACTTTCTCTGAGGGCTTCTACTTCTTCCTCAGTCCTTCGCTTGAGACAGATTTAACGAAAAAATAAAATAAATTCTCGACTCTTCAAGTCGTTTTTACCGATGTAACTTTATATTTATAAAGTGTACAGAACGCGAACTTCACCGTTTTGCCAAACATTTCGAGCAGTACTTCGCACTTCCGTTTCCGGACTGGTTCCGCCTGCCCGGGCGAACCGATCGTGAGAAAAGAAATCGTTAAGCAAGAATAAACGACAATAACAATGGACAATAGAGTGGACGAAAATTATCTGCGCCGCGCCGGTTGAAACTTAGTCGGCGAACAATGTCGCGGAGTTTCGCGGAAGTTTGAGGCCGGGTTTCCTCTTCTCTTTGGACCTCCCACGAAGCGGGCGAATGAACGAACGAACGAACGAGCGAACGTTTATCGTCGAGCGTCCTGTAACGTCCACTTCCGGCCAGGACAAACTTATCTGAAAGTTTACGCGCGCTCGTACGGCGAACGGAGAAAAGTCGATTGCCGCAGGCTTAGAGGAGCGGGAGTGATGAAATGTTCTGAGTTACGATACAGCACACATACATCTGCGCACACACACGTATACAAGTGGCAGCTTCTTCTGCCAAGTCGAATGTTGTTCGTAGTGTTTTTCAATTTTCGCAATCGCACCTAGCGAGAGCGCATTGCTCGTCGCTCTCGTATCGTTGCGAGCTTCCGGCTGCCCTCAGCGCGCTAAAACAAAATTTCACTCTGTACTCCACGCAAAAGTATACGCAGGGGCGCCGCTTCCTATCGGCCCGAACTCATTTCTTTTTCACGACTCGCTCGCGAACAGTACGGATTCGTACGTGAATGACGAGAGAAGGGAGAGGTAAGAATTTTACGCGAGCAGGAGCGTACCACCTCGTCGACGTTCCGGCATGTAAGATCGTTTCTCGCGTTCTCTATCTACTGAAGTATAAACGACGAGCTAAATTTTCAACCTCCTCGTTCAGTTAGCCGCTCTCGTGAATTCGGAGCGAACACGGCGCCAAGTATGCCTCGACTTCGATAAGTGACGAACGTAAATTCATCGAACTCATCACGATTATTGCGATCCTTTAATAAGTGAGAATGCAGCAGCCCCTGGGGCGGCTGTTCTTTGGGAAACAATAGAAACAATTTCTCTCATCGTGCAATTATTCATAATAAAAGTGTTGTGTCAAAAACGGTCCATCCAAATTTTACGTTATTTTTTAACTCGGAGAATATATTAATTTAATATTATATTTGTATGCTTTTCAATCCACGTTAAGGTAACAAAATTTCAGTGCGCCGTTTTTAACACAAAATTATTTACTTTGACCAGTCAAAAAGCTTGGTTCGGCTTTGTGAGCCAAATTCTTTTGTCTTTTATTGAATTACTTAAAAGTGAATTCTGACGATAGCATTCGGGGAAAAGAAATTATTCATTAACCGAACAATCGCTGTCTCTAGATCGCCTTTATCGTCGAAGATGGCTGATTTGGTTCTGTAAAATTAATACTCCGAAATGCGAATACGTTCGTTTCTGCTTGGTAGACAAACGCGGACAATCGATTCCAATACGTAATTTAAAAAAAACACAATATGCTCAGTGCACTCAGTGGTGCTCAGTATGTTTTCACATGCGTAGTATGTTTTCTTACGTTCGTTTTTTTAACAATTCTTTTTTGCTTGAATAAATAAAATAAAGAATTCTGGACGGGCAAATGTGGATAAATCGCGGACAATCGCGCATTCCGCTTAGAAATTAAAGAAAATCCCTCATCGGGGGACGTCAAAATTTGTCCAATTTTTTCTAACTTTTTTTTTGCGAAATGGACAAAAATAATTTTCTTAGAGACAAATGTGGACAAACGAATGACGCGTGAGTTTGATAAAAAATTCGCATTCCCAAGTGCTAACTTCACGAACTCACAACTTTTTCGTCTTCGATGATAAATCGAGCCGGACTTTTTGACTGACCCAATACATTCTCCGCATGATCCCGTTTGGAAACTATCGTAGTAGTTCGATAGAGAAGCAACCATTTACCTTCTGATCCTTCTGCCAAATGCATTGTCCTCTCTTCCCAAGGACCCGACACACCAGCTTCGCGTCCTGGCCGGGATTCACCTCGGTATACTGCGGCATCTCTTCGAACTGCTGGATGCCACGGCACACTGCAAGCAATAACACGGGAGCGAATGAGACTCCATACGCCATTATAACACGTGTAATTCGCGGACGGTTATTAAAAATACACGCGCGAGTGCGTTGCACTGCGCGCGCTTTGTTTCCATTTATTCCGCGCGTCGTCGCTCTACTGATTAATCGAAGAAACGTTCGTTCCGTATCTCTCCGCGCGGAAAGGTGGAAAGGAAGGAGAAGAAGGGAGAAACGGCGGGGAAAAAAAATGAGAGAGGAATTTCGTTTTTCCGGCCGATCCGGGAGTCCAGATAGATAGATAGATAGATAGATAGAGAGAGAGAGAGAGAGAGAGAGAGAGAGAGAGAGAGAGAGAGAGAGAGAGAGGTGACGGGATATAGGGACGGTTTGGCTAGGCATTAAAGGCGGGCTGCAACCTCGTTAAAGTTGTTATTTAATTCGCAACTTCGTAAACTCATTTAACTCGGCCCGCGCTAAGCTACGATCTTCAGTTTTCACCTTTTAAGTTTGTCGATAAATTGTATTTAGCGCTTAATCGAATGACGGCAGACGCGACAGCGCTGACTTCGATGCGACGATGCACGCGGACTTGTATATATTCGCCGGCATTAATCGCGTCTCGTTAGTCGACGTTAATTATTTCTTCGTCGCTCCGAGCGAGTTCTATGGATGAGCGGAATTAAATCGGATTCTAGCGTGTCTACATGCGATATAAATCGCTTTGAATTATGCAGCTCGGAAATAATCACGAAGTTTGCGTGGATAAATTATGAACTATATCGATTCTGTAGTGTGAAAATTTTAGTGCACCTGCTATTCGAAAAATTGGAAAAGTGGCGCGCATGTACAGAGAATGAAACACTCGCGGCTACGTAGTCCTGAAAATTCGGCCGAACATTTAAACTTAACGCCCATTATTTTATTTACTTCACTTATATAACGGGAAGTTCCTAATTTTTCCTCTTCATAAATATAAACAAAGTGCGTAAGTTTTAAAGACAGAGGGAGAGGTAGAGTTGTTTTAAAATATTTTTAAAACATTAGTAAGAATCGCTTAAGAATTTTATGCTTTGCGCAAAGCTGTCGGATAAGGGACAGAGAACGTGATTATAATTCCGAATGAAGTTAATATGTGTGCGTATGAAAATTAAACTACTGAAAAGAACACTAACGCGGAGAATTAGCCATAAATATGTCAATTTTGTGCCGGGGAAAATGTGATACGCGGACGCGTTGTCGCTTTGCGCGGGATCCGGTGAAAATTTCAGGATCGCAACGTACGCTTTTTGTCGGATTGCAGCGTTAAAAATTCAATTTTTCACCGGCGCGGAGATGATTAATAAAACGCGCTGCCGCGTCGTACGCGGCTCGCGGAAATAACTTTGCAAAATTAACAGCGCGCGCATGCAGCTCGCGGTTCGACGAGCACTGCAACAGTATTTACAAACGCGAAAGAAAAACAGCTCTCCCCGTTTAATAATGTCGTTATATTTCGCAACATTTTCATGCCTTGTGTGATAAATCCACTAAAACTAAAGTACGATTATAAGAAACACATCAATTTCCACCTGTCCGTCCAAGATTTATTCATCCACGACGTTAACTTACCCCTTAATGCTGTTTGCCAATCAGAGATCGCGTGGAAAAATATATTCACAAACCTCATGATAATTTTTCATGTTTCTATCTTCGTCACAAAATCGAGAAAAACTTGAGAAGGAAAAGTGTGGATCGTAAAAACTCTCCGGTGATGACTAATGTTAGAAATTATACTCGAAGCTTCGAATTTCTGAACTTCCAAAGCATTATATTTGAATAATTTGAACAATTTGAAACGTTAAAATTTCAACATTCAGATATTCGAATATTCGAAACTTCAAGAAAGTAGTACGTGTATTCGTTTTGCAGACATAGAAAATAGTATTTACTAAAAGTGTAATTTTTTCTTGCATTGCGTCATGCTGTTATATATAATGATAAAATTTGCACCTAATTTAAAATAGAGTTAACGAGATTTGTTGTTTATTATTGTTTCTTTCTTCATTCACTTTGTTTTAAACTAGACAAGTACAAATCTCAGAATTAAACTAAAAACATTTACCCAAACAACATGTATATCTAAAAAACGTCTTTTAGAGGCCTTGTTATCTAAAAGATGTCTTTATCAAGTCTTAAAACGCCTTAATGTTATCTGGGTTAAACCGATACTCTTTAATTATACAGTATATTATTACATTCTCCAAAATTAGTTTTATTAACAGTCACGACATTTTGAATCGTCAAATAGGAAACGTCGAATAATTCAAAGCGTCGGATAATTCGACTTCGAACTTCGTCGTCAAATGTTGAGTTATATCGAAGTTTCGAAACTTCGAATATGTAGTACTATTCCCAATGATAACAATAAAAAAAATATACAGTACGACAGTAAAAAATTTTTATGGAACCGCTTCAAGGTACTTGTCTACACAGCTTCTTATCGGCAAAAATGTTTTTCCTCTCTTTCTGGACCGTTGTAACGAATGAAATTTGTTCCGCCACCGACAACGGTCTCTCGCAAGGGATTCCCGACTTCGCGAAAGGAGACGCAAATCTATTTACGGGATTATCACTCCGGAGTAACGAACGCGACGTCGAGCTGCTAGATAGTTATCAGAGTTCGGAGCCACCTGCGAATCCTCTACGATTCATTATAATATCTCACCTCAAACCTCGATTAAACCGAAATGGAAGCTCCCGATTGCGTGGAGTTTAATTATGAATGCGTCGCGTAATCGTCGCGTGGTGGCGGCTAGGAAGACGACAACGACGACATCAGGCGTCATCGGCGCAAGGAGGCGGCCCGGCTGACAGAAGTGCGACGCGACTCGAGAAAATGACGGCGAATAAGGCAAAACTCAAGGATCCCGGCAACAGGTTCCGTAAAGTAAATTCGAGGCTTGGCACCTCTCGCCCGCCCGTCCGCCCGCACACGCTCCGGTCGTTAATTGTGTTTGTACGTCGGAGGCGACGAGCTGTACTTCGCGGGCGAGCGCGTCGTGCAAATACACTTGGACCGAAATTGCAGCGCTTTCTATCTGCAATAATAATTACGACTGCAGTCTCGAGCGAAGTCAAACAGATACGGACAAATTACCGCGGCGTCGGCGGGAACGAATTGAAATCGTTTTTGCGCGAAAACGTTCGAGGAGTATCGCTTTTTTTTTTTCTCGTTGGCGAAAACCGTATAACTATTATAGATACGTAGACAGATTGATCGGTTGATTAAAGCGTTTCCCGTTTCTTTTTTTTTTTTAACGTGTATGTTATGAAGAATGAAACAGGAAACTGCATTGTTTCCGCATCTGAACTGTTCTGTATTTTTCAACGTTTCAGTTCTTTCTTTTTTGGAACATGAATGTTCTAAAAAAACAGGAAACACTTGATAAACGTTCAAAGACGCAGAACAGTTTGGACGTAGAAACAAAAGTGTCCTACCAACGGAATTGGTCAACAGTGTCGTAATTCGAATGATTCGATTAAATAGCAATACTGTTGAAACTAACACTCGAGTTATTAAAACAACATATGATGTATTAGTTTCATTGGTATTTAATCGACGAGATTTTATCCAATTACGGCGCCGTTAACCAATTCTGTTGGTACAGCAGTATTTTCGCCCCCGTGATATGAAAAATTGAAACGGTGAGGAACGGATGAACGGAAATGTGAAACACGGAGGTTAAATGGCACGTTTAGTATAGAATCGTAATGAGAAGTACAAAGAAGAAGTGAAAGAAGAGATACAAGAAGTTGACGCGAGCCTTAGTAGTTGCGTGTTCTATTTGATCGCGCGGCGGGAGGGGAGCGAGAATCGGTATTGTAAAGCTCATTCGCGAGCCACGCGAAAAATTCGAGGGAACCTCCTCAGGATTTCAACGCGAGCTTTAATAACGCGCGCGATTTAATTAATTCTCTAATTAATGCGTTCAATTTCTAAAGGGAGACGAAGAAGGGAGAAAAAAGGGGAGAGAATAGGAGAGGGGGGATTATATGGAGAAGGTGTTATATGGAACGGGCATATTTTCGCTGACGTAAAAAGAACGATAGAGATACGCCCGTGGAAAGATGTATCATAAATTCTTGCAGTATGTCAGGGTATAATGTACTGCAACTCCGAACGCGGGTAACTAACTTTGCTCGCGTTGCAGAATACATCTCATTTTTGCGGAAATAGAGTGCGTCCGTACCCGCGCGCCCGCACGGTCTAATAAATTCATTTTTCAAAAATTAAGGTAGGCGGTAGGTGGGTAGGTAGGTAGGAACAGATGTAATATGACGTTAAAAAATCGTAGCGATGAAACGCATTCTGTGTGTATACACGGGAAAACCCAGGTTTCGCACTTTAATAACGTATTTCTAATAGCGTCGCTCTTTCAGCAGTGCTAATGTTGCAGCTTCTTCTTTACGGAGGTTCTCTAGTCTTGAGAACCCGATTGAAAGATACATTCGGGAATTTCCTAGAAAATATTTCTGTGGGATATTTCTCTAACGCTACAAGCTTTCAAAGATATATATAAAAAAAATCAATTTTTGAATTCTCAAGACCAGAAAATCCCCTTAACGCCATGTCGACCGATTGCGAGGGAACTCGTTTAGCCGAGCCGTTGACATATCGCGCTTTAAAAAGAAAAAAAAAATTAAAACGTTCCGGAGGCAGTTGCGAATTCGATATTGATAAATTAAACATAAATCGAATCGTTCATTTTTATTCAAACGCCTGCGTCCGGAGGGAAAAGAAATAATAACTCGCGGAACGGAGTTTAAATAACGCTGAAAACGGCGGATCCGCGATGTATTAATATTCAATAGCGCCAAAATATCCTCTTTCGCCGCATTTCCTCCTATATTATATATGCATTGCCCCATATAATGATGATATTATTTATTAATTCGCGCAATACCTCTCGACCCCGCTCTCCCGCCAATCGTTCGTCCTCACTTCGCCCCACGTGCGCAGATTGTTAATCGCCGA